TTTTCTTCCTTTGAGCCCTTTCAATTACATTTTTGCTCGGGCTAATTAAAATACTGCTATATTGTATTAAAAATAACACGAAGTTACGGAAAATTTGTATGTGTATATATATAATGCAACCGATTTTCCTTCCTCTCAACCTTTCCATTGTGTTGTTTTCGTTCGTGAACTGCAGGCCACAACCAAATTGAAAAGCAGCAGGGCGCTAATAATATTATTAATCGATGCTCGGACCATTCTTCAATCATAACACGTTCACTGTGCAATTGCAAAACAACAGTTGCAACAACAACATCAATGTTATTTATTTACAAGGTTTCCACGATAAAGGAATTAAAATTACATTTATTACAAAGATTTAGAGAGATTACAGTCCATTAAAATTTAAGTTTTCATATGAGAAATAGCACAATTATTAAATTTTGTAACAAAGTCAGTTTTTATTTTTATTTATATAAAACGTACTTATTTAGTATAAATAATAATAACTGGTTGGAAATACTATTTTATAAACCTTGTGTTTTATTATTATAGAATGTTTTATGGCCAATGGCACCATTATGAGTATAAGCTAATAATTCAATACAAGTATTAAATTAATAATGAGGGCATAAATGTGACTTTTTGAACCAGTTTACAATAGATTGATTGATTAGCTATAGATGATATTGAAATGACCACTTCAATATATTTCACTATACAAACTATAATTTTAGTACCCATTAAATTAAAAATGTGACTTTTTCAATCAATTTACAACATTTTTTTCATTTCTAATATATTCACTAATTATTTAATATAATGCATGTAATTAACAAAAAATAATGGATTTATTATAGTATATGAACATACATATTTATTTTTTGTGAAAAGAATAAAAAAAACAATATTTATCATTGAAATATACAATTACTAAATAAATATTGAAAATTAACAAAAAAGACTTAAAAATATATTTCATTGTCACAATATAATCAATGTTTTATACAAATGTTAATGAGAAACTTAATTACTTAGATAATTAAAATATGTTTATTACCTGCAACTGTTGTAAATTATTTTTTTAATGTATTATTGTTTTTTTTTTTATTATATTGATTGGAAATACAGGTATTCTCCGACTTACGAATCCCGGACTTACAAACAAAATTCTAAATGCTCCAACTTGTTACAAGGAAATATATAGTGATATAAAAAATTAAGTGTCCAAACAAAAATTGATAATTTCTTTAATAAAATATAATATTTTTGGAAGATTTACTTTGTGTTTTGTTGCATCTGTTTCTTTAGTAGTTTTTTATTAAATAATTGTGTTGTCTACATTGAATAGCATTTGTAAGTAAATTTATACAGTCAGTAATACGAAATTTAAAATATATAAAAGTAAAAACCATGATAAAGTGTGGTAAGATAAGTATATTTTGATTTTTTTTAAATTACCCCTTACGAACAAATTCGACTTACAAACAACCCTTTGGAACGGAACTAGTTCGTAACATGTATTGTATTCAAGTTATTATAAAGAAAATTTAGGATGAATGAAACAAATAATTTTCTTGAAGAAAATTACAAATTAAAAAGGTTCTTAAAGTAATTGCTAGTTTCAGAAAGATTAATATAGAGTTTAAAGATAAAAATCATGAAATGGTCTATGTTGCAAATAAAGTAACAAAAACTATATAAGATTATTTTCTTCATTTCAGTGAAGTTTCGTATAAAATAAATAAAGTTATTAAAGTTTATGATACATAAACTTCATCTGCTCATTTTTAGAAGGAAACACGTAAATTTTTAATTAAAAGTAAGATGAGAAATAAAATTACTAAATAAACTTATTATATCAATTTACATTTAATAATATTTTAATTTATTTATATATAAATTGTTTTCTTCATTAAAATTAATTGTACATTCCAACAAAAGTATTAAGTTTCATCATAAATAAGTCTATAAAATAGTAAAAAAAAAATTAGTAATATTATTAATGCAGAAATACCCCAAATAGTGTGAATGTGTTTCAAACCGCACTAAAAGAGGCCTTTAAACCCAATAAAATTAAAAGAGACGTGTATAAAAAAAGTTTTGTGGCTTAATTGTTTAGAATTTTCTGAATTAAAATTTAGTTTGAAAATTCAATCAAACCCTAAATCAGCACTGATCGAAGGCGCACTATTTGAGCTATTTTTAATTTTTTTTTAAATAAATAAAAGTATGTAATAAAATTATTTATATTTTTATTGTCATAACAAAATAAATTAAGTTGATAAACTATTTACAGTATATAGTTTTTTAGAAAATAATCCCCGGATAACAAGGAATTACTGTCATTCGCTATTAGTATTAAAATATGACTAATAATCCAAAGTAAATCAAATGAATATAAACGATAAAATGATGCAAATAAACCGAGCATTTCCATTGTTTTTTAAAATAATAATAAAAATAGTGTTATAAATAGTGTTATAAATAATTGAAATATTAATTTGTATTCATAAAAATCAAGTAAATATGCATATATAAAATTGTTTATTGTTGAATATAAAAATCCAGGGTATACAAATAAGACTATTACAGATTTATTAATGGTTTTTATTAAATATTTGAGATGGAAAATCTTTTTTTAAACATATTTTACACCTTTTTACGTAGAGAAATGAGCTTAAATTTGAGTGTGTTCAAATGTTTATTTACCATATTTTTCAGACACATTTTATTACATTTGTATCACGTAATCCAATTTTTCGATTTTTTTAAATTTTATTTTTTTAACAAATTATATAATGTTGAATGTAGATCAAATAAATTGTAAATACAAGAAAACAATGTTTATAAAAATAGTTAGTGTAACAAAAAAAAATTGACATAATAATGAAATTTTCGAAGCCGGAGTTCTGCTCTAATGAATAATAAAAAGGCCTTGGACGTATGCGAGCAGCGAGCACGAAACAAAACGTAGAGCAGCAGTTAATACATTCCGTAATTTTAGTTAATAAACATTCGTCCTATGAATTATTAATTCCTGCCCTAAAAATATTGCGCTCGGTTTATAAATACATACGCCGAACAGTGTATTAAGATTTCACAACAGTGCATTCTGATTACGCAACAGAATTCGGAAGAAGGGAATAGCGAGACGAGGGAGAGAAGAAGAAAAAAAGCATCCGCATAACATATAGATTTTTATACTGTCGACCGTTCGGAGGGATGAATGCACGTATTGGAAGTTTCATAAGAAGCGATCGGAAATTTCGTAAGGAGCTTTTTTTCTTCTTCTTAGTCCTACGAGAGGAGAAAAAAAAAGATGCCGAGTTACCCACAGAAACGCAAATATGAGGCGCTTTGATGTCTTTGAGGGATTTCCTTTCAGTTTTTCCCCCTTTCGTTTTTTTTTTCTTCTTCGGGTCGCAACTTTAATCCCGTAACTAATTATTCTTCGAATGCTTTGTTTGCGTTTCGCCATTTGCTTAACGCATTTAAAGCGTTGATGGAAAATGGAAGTTGTAACGCGTGAAACTATTGTTTGTAGTTTTTTTGTTGTTGTTTTGATGCGTTCGTTAAACGTGACTCATTGCACTCATACTATTTGCATGCATAGTTCAAACTAATTCAATTACTTATTAATGTTGACAACAGCAGCGTTTTTCAACCTTTTTGTAGTTTGTATTTGAACTTTGACCTAATTGTTAACAGTCTTTCACTAATTTCTCGCTTTGACAAAGCTGTCCCATTTTACGCGACCCATAAATTGAGAAACTCTGGACAGCTTTTTTTTCTTCAAATTTTCACATTTTTTGCCGTAACTTTATATAATTTGTTAAATAACAATTTAAGAATTCTAAATAAATATGTAATAATTTATGATATGGATAATTGTAATTATTAATATTTACAAATGACTATAGAACATAGGGTTTTCCAACCTTAAATATTTCTTTTTTCGATTTGAATCTTCAGTAAATTAATTCGTGAATTGTAATTAGTGAAATTTACTACGAAGTTGCAAAGTTTATTTACTTAAACATAATATCGTATTAACTTAATGACTAATTAAATAAGGATTATTTACATTTAATTTATGTTATTTTATGTTTACTTATTTTATATGTAAATGTGTACCAAATCTGTAAAACGTATGACAAAAACAATACATTTTTAACAGAATTCCTCATCATTAGTTTAATCAATTTTATCAAACCTCATAATAACAATTTACAATAAAATCGATTTATACCTTTAAATAATTTAACTTTTATTACAATAAAAGTCATAGAAAAAAACAAAAGTTTAACACAAATAAAAAAAATAAATTCAAATCATTAATAAATATAGCAAAAGGTCAAAAACAGCTAAATTTTATATCGATTTAACTTTTGATTTAATTGACACACAATAAATTAGAATTAATCCAATCTTTATCTTTCTTGAAAAAGTTGAATGTTTTCAACAAATAAGTTTTTAATTTGAAAAAATACTACAATTCAAATTTGAAAATCACTTTATTATTATTAATAAATATACATAGAAACAACATTTTCCAGTGGCTTTCAAGAATAATTGGATTTTTCAAATCTAGGCGGTTTTGAGTATACAAAGACTACAATAATCCGTTATTCTGTAAAATAAATATTTCATAATATAATTGCAGTAAAAAAATAATCCAATTACTAATTTTATTCTTATATATTTATATAACTATAACTATTGAATAATGATAGTATTTGACCTATTTATTTCACGCTTTGTAAAATAACTAGATTTTGCATGAAATATGAACTTTAACTGTAAAATATATAAAAAGTAATCCAGTTTGAAAATGTATTATTACAAAGTTTATTTTTTATGTATCGTTTGGAGAAAAGGCGCGTGCTTGTTTCAGATGGGTTGGATGTCGAGGTTGCTTATTTGCATCAGAATATGAAACACATGGAGAGTGCGGAGGATGCAAAGGAAAAGCGGTTGTCGCGAAGCGTGGGCAACACGCCCAGAGGAAGAAGACCTACCTAGAGCCAGCAAAAGTTGCTTCCGAAGTTTCCCCAAAGTGCACGTATCCAAAAAAAAGTATTTATATATACATATATAAAATAATTGGTAGAAATGAAAACGAAAAAAAAAACAATCACTGATGAAGAGTGGAAACACTATTCGCGTGTACAGTTTGATAGACGAGCGGGATAATAACTGGGGGGAAACACACAGAACGAAAAGGAAACGAAATGTTTATGGTAATCCTTTCTCGGACGATGCGTTCCGACGCGGTATGCGCAAGACCGTTTTGTTCACTTGCTACCCTCCTGATCGTCCGCACGACGCGGATCCTCTCACCAAACTAAAACTGGTTGTACAACTCAAGTTCCGCCGGAGTTTGGCCTGGCCTGGCCGTCTGATTCTGCGGGAACGCTGATGCCCGACGTTCGACGAACCGCACCAGGTAAATATACTACTACCTGCGACGTGAATTACACTCGCATTCTCTCTCTTTCTTCGTCTCCACAAAGTCATTTCTACCATAAGAACAAAGGCCTAAAACTTATTACCTTACCTTCTTAAAGGAACGAAAAATATATGTGTATCTGCGCGCGTAGCATATACATTTATAACGGTCGGTTGCCGAATTTAGACCACATAAATATTTATTATATAGGGAATATTTATAAAATAAGTAGAGAAAAAATATAATTAACACATTCAATATGATGACAACATTCGTCATCGGTCCAATAAAAGCAACTAGTTACCTTACTCTTAATTTTTTCTTATTTATAGCAACTATCTTACTAAAATTACCTTACGTTATTTAATTACTATAGGTTAGCTTAAAGACTGAGTTCTATATACATTTATCAAATGCCTATTCTTTTAAGTTATATTGGAAAATAATGATAGTTTCAGAACTTTTCTTGAATTCGATTTTCAATTTGTTCAAATATTAAACGGTTCGACGTAAAATCATAACGTTCAACGTCTTCAACGATATGAATTACACTCGTAATAAGTCATATCTCCCATATACATTTTTAGTGAATAGTTGCTGATTTTGGACCACCTAAAAAAGAGGAGAAAAGTAAAAGGAACAAAAAGGAGTTAATAATTAGTTCCTTTAACTTTGATGAAATTTACTTTTCGAATGATAAAATTGGGATGTGTAAATAAAATATACGTCAACTGGTTTTCCAGGATTAATTACAAGATTAATTTTAGTTTTCTTAAGTGCAATTTCAGTAAAAATACTTTTTCACTTCAGATAACTGATTAGTGCACAAAATCAGGAAAATTTTATAAATAATAGAAAATATTTAACTAGACTGACTATTTTGTTTGATAAATATATTATTTTCAATAAATTAAAGGTTTTTCATAGCATAAACATAATAATAATTGTTCGTCTTCCGAAGTTTGAACATGAATCTTTCGACAAACTTCTCCAGGCGAATTACGTTCTCATTCTTTTTCTTCTTTAGTCTTCACAAAAGAATTTCAACTATAAGATCAAAGACCTACAACTTATCATCTTCTCTTCATAAACAAAAAAAATGCGTTTGCATGTATAGCATATACGTATATATAAAAGTATGAGTATTCACTGGAGAATGGAACCACAAACATTCCTGTTGGCAGAAATGTTATTCCAAACCCAATTTCTGGTTGCTAACCGAAAAAAAGAAAGAAGGGAAGAGAAAAAAAAGAAGAACGAAGAGAGAAATGAGTAAAGCGAAGATGTAACACAGTGGAAAAAGGTAATCGTGAATCATACAATTCAATTAACAATAAATCTTTGCCGGGTTCCCCCCATGCACCACCCTTACACCATTCATAAACTACGCGTTTCCTTTTATTGCTTGTAGCAACGGATCGTGTTTGCATACATTTCGCCAGGTGCGAATTGTCATACTAAAAAAATGCTTGTAACTATCACTTCTGACACTTCCGGTTTTTTTTTTTTGATAATAGAAAACTTTAGTGAAATTATTTTTTTTTTGTTGGTTTTGATCAAAAACTCAATTTGACAAAGGATTTAAGAAAACGCTTTTATCCATTATCAAACTATTTTACAAAAAATTATTCTTGGATTTAGACAAATAATATTTCTTAATTATTGTAAAGTTCAAAAATGGATTTAAAAACGTTCAATATTTATGGTAAATAATTCTTCGTACTTTATAAATTATTAGGTTTGTTTCAATTTTGATTAATTTTATTAAACATATCAATTGTAAATTTTGAATGATTTTGAAATCGAAATTAGTAAATTGATCAATTGTAATTATTATATAATACAATAGTTCACATAGTCCGGGTAATCCGGACTAATTGAGGACTTTAAATACGCATAAAAATATACCGTACTAAAAGGGACTTTATTGTATTAGGGAAAAAAAGCAGATAGAGTTTATATAGAAATATATTTATTTGTACCATTTTTTCGTAAAGTTACATATACAGTGGAAACCCCAAAATGTCCATATTTTTACTAGTATAGTGAAACATATTCAAAAATATACATAATATGTGTAAACAAGTTTTAAAAATGATGTAGAAGGCGCGCAATCCGGGACTTCTCTTTTCATCGTCACTCGTTATGCGAAACGTCGCTCGTTAAGCAAGTCATTTTTCTATCAATTCATTTTGCTCGTTAAGCGCAATGCTCTTTATGCGAGGTTCCACTGTATTAACTTACATGATACAGTTAATTTTGTTTAGTATTTTCAGATGACTGAAGATGAATCAGTATAGTTGTGAATAACAAAATAAGTAGAAAGAGACACGTAAGCTAATATGAATTGGGCTTTTAAGAATGTCGGGTTTTGGTTCCACACAAGATTCATGAGGCTATTTATATAATTATATATTATTTTAAATTTTAATATATTCCTTATATTACTCATATATAAAACTTAATGATGATAAATCGTTCATTGAAAAACTAAAGTAAATGCATAAAATAAGTGAAAGAAGAAACATTTGTGTAATATTATATAAATACGTTATTACAAGTAGGACGGCTGATTAAGAAAACACTTTGCGAGATTAATTATTAGAACGAAAGTAAAAGACGGGAAAAAGATGCAAATTTGTAATGGAGAAGTAGGAAGAAACGCCTTGCAAATGGAATATTTAACGAAGATAATAATATTTTGTTTTGTTAATGCGAATTTCACCAGTTTTATTAAGGAATGACGAAATTCAAAGAATCTATTTGACTTTAGTGGAATTTAAAGGCTATTTGATAATTTTGGGTTGACGTGATACTAATATATGTTGCATTATTCTCACAAAAAATAACAATTTGGGTTAGAAATATTGAAACATCTGGTCTTTATACTTAAATCAGAACCCACTCACGTATTAATACGGAATGTACAATGACCTTACACGTTTATTGTAAATATTAAGTAAATACGTGTCAAGATTTTCAATTATTTGAATTATTTATTACCTAAAATATAAAATTTTCAGTTTAGTATACAAATACCGAAAAAAATGTATGCTCATATTTCAACTCATAATATATTCTGAAATTGGGCAGTAGATTTACGTGTTTTCCATTAATAATTTTTAATTTTGTAATTATTTATTTAATTTTCGGAAATAAATGTTACTATTTTTTTTATTTCATTAATCGGTATAATTATACTGATAATTTTCGTTAGAATTTTCCATACTTTCAACATTTTTTTTTTGACTAAATTGATTCTACTTGAGATATTTAGAACAAAATTTTAATTTATTTTTTAATAAAAACAAAGGAAAACGGATTTGCGCTTCTATTAAGAAAGAAATAAAAACTAAAAAACACAATTAGATGAAACTCTCTTAACAAGTTTTCAAAAAGATTTCAGCACTTCCAGTCACATCTGGCAAAACTATGTCGGATACAACAGCATCCGCGCAAAAGCAAATCATTTATTGAATGAAAAAATGTACTTACGGTTTAATTAAGGTTTGGACACAAATTAAAAAATAACATAATTTGGATAGATAAGACTATTTTTTCAGCATTATTTTCAGTTGGAAATTATTTTTTATACGTATTTTTTAATATATATGATAAATATATAAGGATATTCTGTATCAATTACAAAATAAAAATAGGTTTATTAATAACTGTAGGGCAGAAAAACATATGGTCAATTGCCCTTTGAAGCAGTTGACTTTTTGATGTATGATATTTATATTATTGTATTGAGTTTTTTTAATTTTGTAATTTTACTGTTTCAATAAATATTAATAACTAAATTGTATGTAGATAAGATTATATACATTTTAAATAATTTATTACGCAAAACAGAATTGAAGGAAGTGTTAAAAGTACGTTCGGGGATTACCCATAGCTCTGGTCCATAAATAAATGCGAGAGAGATACATCCACGGCGGGATGTTTTAATGCGATTACGTAAGAAGTTTATCTGCGCCATAGGAAAAACTAAGTTTCGGTCGGCGCGAAAAGGGGATGGTGGCAAAAGCGTGTTAAGTACGGATTATCTCTGAATACGAGCCGAGCTTGATGACAACACTAAATCATATTTGTCAATGACACAGCTAATCATTTCGCAAGCGAGCCAATTAGATGACTTACGAGTGTTCACTAATTGGGTTACACTTCAATGCTTTCCAATGCTAAAAATAGTTTCCTAACATCAGACTCATTAAAATATAGGTAAATATATGACTTATTAAGAAATTCATTTTATAGATACTATTTGCAATATATATTTTTCAATAAAAATATTATAGGTAAATTAGTGTTAGGCTTTCGACTAACACTGTTTCATGACTACACAATAAACCGAAGTTTGAGGAATGCAGCGCACAGTCTTAATTTTGAAGATTCTGTTGACGATATGAATGTAGTATAAATTGATAAAATAGGTATATTACTAATTTTTTTCCACTGTAATAACTATGTCCAAGGTTTCAAAGACAACTCCTATATGTAAGGTAACTAGATCGGTTTAATAAAAAATCGGGATTTAACTCGAATTTTTAACTAGATTTTGTTTTTCTCTCATTACTTTACATATAACGTCCAGAAAATACGTATGGGAAGTCGCAATAAGGGTGTAAAGCCCAGGAGAGAAGAATAATCAGCTATGGATAAACCACTGGGCATATGTAAATACCTATATAAGTTCTGTAAAGAAGCTGACAGTCTGGAACATCCCTTCTTCAGATGCTATTGATCATCGAATATGAAGCACGAGGATGATTACAAAATATTAGACAACCCATAGTGTTGGGTCATCACATTATTACACATAAATTACTGGTTCTATATAGAAAAAGTTGGTGCTGTTGGTAAGAATCTCGCGATACCATGACTCCAACAGTGGTCTT